ATCCTACTAAGATGATGCTAAACAATGCTGCCAACGGAGCCTTTACAAAGAAGACATTCAACGAGATAGTCGACATCCTAAATGACTTAGCTTCACAYAACGAACTATGGTGTTCGCAAAGATCTAGGGCAGCACCAAAGAAGCAAGATCCAGCTGGAGTTTTGGCTCTAGACATTGCGAGCTCGATGCAAAAAGAGAAGGTTACAATGAACCAGAGGCTGAAAGAGATGGTGTTGGGATTAAAAAATCCATTAGCCACGCCGATACAACCTGTGCAGTCGGATTATTGCACTCCTGCCCCTGTTTGCCAAGTCAACGATCTCATTTGTTCATTTTGCAGTGAAAACCATATTTATGATMATTGTCCACATAACCCTGCTTCCGTTTTTTATGTAGGACATGGGAACAATAGGAACTTTAACCCATATTCGAACACCTACAACCCCGGTTGGAGGCACCACCCTAATTTCTCATGGSGAGGTCAAGGAGGTTCGARCGGTTTTAATCAAGGGCAGAGCCAGCAGAACAAGCAGCCCTATGTTCCACCTACACAGCAATACATCCCGCCACCGCAACAGCGGTACAATCAGAGAACACAGACTCCACCAGTTCAAAATAACAACTCAAATCTTGAGAATATGATGAAGGAGTACATGGCCCGAACCGACGCAGTGATACAATCCCAAGCGGCATCAATGAGGAATTTCGAGACCCAATTGGGACAGCTCGCCAATGAATTGAAGAATAGACCACAAGGTTCTTTTCCARGCCATACTGAATTACCAAAACGAGAAGGGAAAGAACAGTGCAAAGCTGTCACCCTTAGGAGTGGACTGGCATATGATGAACCAACAATGCCAACAGCAGATGTACAGATTCCGTCCACTGGACCAACTGTAAAGATACCAGAGAATCCAACAACACCAGAAAAAKAAAATATTAGAAAAGGTAATGAGGACACCCCGAGTGTTCCTCCACAGGTACAACCTTCTTTTACCCCTACTCCCCTGTTTCCACAAAGATTAGTTAAGAAAAATAACGATTCCCAGTTTAGAAAATTTTTAGATATTTTAAAACAATTGCATATAAATATACCATTAGTAGATGCTCTAGAACAGATGCCAAATTATGCTAACTTTTTTAAAGATATAGTTTCTCGAAAGAAAAAGATAGGAGAGCATGAACTGGTAGCCATGACAAAATGTAGTAGTGAAGCTGTAGGCAGCCCGCTACCCATGAAATGTAACGATCCTGGCAGTTTTACCATTCCATGTTCCATAGGAGGRAAAAACTTAGGTAGGGCATTATGTGATCTAGGCGCTAGCATTAATCTTATGCCATTATCAATTTTCAAATCTTTAGGCATAGGAGAAGCTAGACCTACTACAGTTACCCTCCAAGTAGCAGATAGATCTAGCATAAGACCTGAGGGAAAGATAGAAGATGTTTTAGTCCAGGTGGACAAATTCATTTTCCCTGCGGACTTTATCATTCTAGATGGCGAGGCGGACTTAGACGTTCCCATTATTTTAGGAAGACCATTTCTAGCCACTGGGGATACAGTTTTTAATGTGAGGAAGGGAGAAATTACAATGAGGGTAAATAATGAAGAAGTTAAATTTAACGTTCTAGACGCCATGAAATTACCAGGAGACTTTGAAGAGTGCTCTACTATAACTAGCTTGAATCCTGTTATGTTTGATGAGTTTTATGACTTGTTAGTTACAGAGATTGAAGAAGAGCTTGATAAGATAGCAGAAGGACCGGAAGATGTGACTAATCCTGTTGAAAAAATACAAAAAGAAGAATGCAAGTCGTTACTTCCGTCCATAGTGGAACCACCCACTTTGGAGCAGAAGCCATTGCCGTCGCATTTGAAATATGTGTATCTAGGGGATAACGACACTTTACAAGTTATTATAGCTTCCAATTTATCACCTACTAATGAATATTCTTTATTGCAGATTTTGGAGAAGCACAAAAAGGCCATTGGATGGACRATAGCAGATATCCGAGGGATAAGCCCGGCCTTTTGCATGCACAAAATCTTATTGGAAGAAGATACTAAGAACTCTATTGAGAGTTAAAGACGGTTGAACCCAAAGATGAAAGAGGTTGTAAGGAAAGAAATTCTTAAATGGCTTGACGCCGRTGTTATATACCCAATATCCGACAGTAGCTGGGTAAGCCCAGTACAGTGTGTACCAAAGAAAGGGGGTATAACCGTGGTGGCCAACGAGAAGAATGAGCTCATCTCAACCCGAACTGTAAGTGGGTGGAGAGTTTGCATTGACTATCGAAACTCAACAAGGTAACGAAGAAAGACCATTTTCCTCTACCGTTTATTGACCAGATGCTCGACCGTCTGGCAGGTAAGGATTTCTATTGTTT